AAAGTAATTATTAATGTACTGTTAAATAATTACTAATAATATTTTAAATAATTAAATAATTCTTAAAAAAAAAGAAAAAAGAGCTCTTAAGGAAGACAAACTTACCATTTGATGTTGAGATCCAAACATAGTGTTACAAGGCACACGGCACATGCAAGAAAGGGGCAACCCTAGCTGCAATAGAAACGATGGAGTTTCAACAACCAAGGCATACTCATTTCAGTGTTCCCAGAAATACACACAGTGGCAAAAAAAAAAGTAAATACGACAATAAAAAGCTGGATATCACATTATAAAGTAAGCTTCCTGCTAAAACTTATAATCAAATTAATAGCAGAGAAAAGAAAGCACAGGAGAAACTGGAAAAAAACAACAGTCAACTTTTCGTTAGCACATCAACTGTGTTCAGTTTTTCTAACAGAGACACCCATGCCTTGTAAAACAGCCTAAACTCAATCCTCCTTTTCTTGGTCACCCTTGCAATTAATACATCTTATAAGGAAACACGTGCTTTGTGCGTGGGCCATTTTCCACTGGAGGTTCACAGTCACTTTACTACTGAGTAGAGATCAATCTGCCTACTTTCATCATACAGCTCAGCTGACTACTCATGCTGTTAAGTCTGAAGTTCTTCCTTTCCCATGGAGGCAAATTCCAGACAACTTTTGGATCATTAACACGAGGGGGAGCTAGGGAATCAAAGTCTCTCTTACATTTTGATGTTTAACTTGGAAGGTCGCTTCACTTGGAAGACAAGTGAAATCTAGTTGATCATACTTATCACTGAACAGAAGGTTCAGCAAATTAAGAGAGAGAACTACAGTTACAGACTAGTTTGTTTTTATCCTTTAACAGAAATTGAATTAATGTCTGATTACTCAGTTCCAATTGTCTGCTCTACAATATACACTACTTCTCAAAACCTAAGATAAAATGCTATCACTTTTAAGTTCAGTGATCACCTAATGTGGACAGGTTACCTTACAAACAAAAGATAAGGCACAACTGTTAATAGCAGTATCTACTCTGTACTCAGAAGCAAAAGGCTCCCAAAATACTGATTCTTAGCAGTATTTCTTGTATCAAGAAGTTTCAGTCAATAACTACGTGCAACACTTGGCTTACCAAAGGCACCAACTTACACCAATGCACTTTTACCACCTACTTCCCAAGTCATTTTGGCCACGACAAGTTCCATCTATGATACCGTTTTTATGTCTCTGCAGTCTACATTTTTAATCTGTTATTAGTACCTCTGCCTGCCTTCTCCAAAGGCTTGAAAAACAAAGGCCCTAAAAACTTGACTCTTCATTTCAGTGCATGTTTGAAAAATATCACTAGTGCACTGAATGTTAGGTATGCAATAGGAAAGTCTGTATATGGCCTCAATTAGCTTATTTAAGTCTACAAACATTCATGCAAATAAATACTTGGCAAAAGCAACAAGCTTTAAACACAATTAGGATAAACTGGGTTGCTTTAAAGCACTGGATCATGAGGGTAATTTCACTATCCCAAACAAGACTTTTTGAAATGGGATCAGCACAGCCTACTTCTACTGTTTTCCTCTAAAAAAATGATAATGCTTATTGAAAACAAGAGTACAGGGCTGTCATTCAGTACAATATTTGCAATAACTCAGTGTTTGGAAATGCAGTATGTTTGGGGCTTGGGTCTTTTTCACCATGACCAATAGCTTACATAAAGTCCAATGCAATCTAGAAACAACCACTCATTTAAAAAAGTTAGCATATTTCCTTTCACTGGAAATATTCAGAAAATTTCTCTCCTCCCACTGTATCGTTGCTGCAAAATGCAGACTGTAAATGCAACCTGAAAGTACTTTTTCCAGACAAATGCTTTTAAATTAAACATACGGTCCACTACAGCTACTGAGGTTACCCCCAGTATGGGCTTTGCTTCCTTTGCCTGTATTTTATAATTATGTTGGAAATCACAATTAATAAAGCAATACCAACACACTGTATAACATTTTTGTATTACCAGCTTGCAGATATTTGCCTGGCATCAAAGTATGGTTTCACCTCAGACTCCGCTCCCCTCCCACCCCCCGTTGTGTTGCAGTTTAGTCATATTGCTATTGTTTCTACCATGAGGAAAAATAAGTAAGTTTTCAAAATCACCATAGTTATGCTTTTCCTAAAATCAACTTTTCTGAGGCCAAAGCTCAGTCCTCATTCTTCACAATGACCCTTTTCATACTGTGTTTCAACAGGCAGACACATCATCCTAAGTCTTAGAAACTTATATAATTTTATAAGCTATAAAAATCTACTATGTCCATAGAAAGGCAAAGAGGAGATGAGGATGAAGGGAATCTGCTCATGAGGAACACTGATCAAGCAAATGTGTGGAAGGAACAGGAGAGCTGCAGAGAGAGCCTGCTCAGCTTGCTTGGGGATAGATGTATTCAGTCAACATAGTAACATTGGGAAAAATCTGGAAGAAGCTTCACTTCTAACAGTGGAAGTTCCAGGCAGATATATGGATCTAAAGGAGAACGTTCACTGGCCCCAATCAATTTACACGACTGCTGCCAGCGGTATACCAGACTGTACTGCAAGTACCAGTCTCTTGCAGGAAAAGTCTGAACGTATTTTTAAAATCTAAATTTCAAAATCTAAATTTCAAGTAGGCAATATGAAGCCAAGTAGGTTCTACTTGCAGCTAAAACCCCAACTAATTCACTTTACCTGATTGCAGAGAGCTTGGCCCAAGCCTGTTCTAGCTGCAGAACTAATGTATATGACAGGCTGCTTAGTATATAGCACATTAAATCCTTCTACTGTATAATCTTCATAGTGTGTGTGAATAACAAGTCGACAGATTTTTAGGAGACCTTCACGATCATCTTCATGATAATATGCTGATCCGTTTTCATACCTGCAAGAAAAGCCAAGTAAATATGACCAACAAAACGAATAGCCAGTTTAGTGACTAAAATAACACTGACCAGCAAAGGAGCTCGCAGGAAGACAAAGATGATGATTAAAAAATCCTTCTATTTTCCCAGGATAAAGTAGGGTAGAAGGAAACTTTGATGAGACAGGAAGAGATTAACAATGAGGGAAGCCTAGTATATATCTTAATTTATACTCAGAGATAAAGTGAGAAAGACAAAAAACATCTGCATTCCTAAGGATTTCCTTTACAGAGTTCAAAACCTTGCTTACTAAGACCAGAGCCAGGAAGGAAACACAAAAGGCTTCATCTGGATTTAATATATATGTAAATTCTGGACTGCTAATTTTAAAGAGCATGCAACCTGACATTCTTTAAGTTAAGTTAGTAAAATTGGAATGAGCCACATAAAGTAAATGGGCAGAAACTTGCAAACTTTATTATGAAATCACAAATCAAGATATTTTGTAATACCCAAAATTACTGATGTCATTTCTATTTTAGAGAGTTCAAAATAAGACCACAATTTAGAACAATCTATTCAGCACACTGCAAGACAGTTTTCCAGATGTTTTATACATGTGAGTTACATAAATTAAGTATATTTTCCCCCAGGAATATTGTAATGATTTTATGGCTATTTTGACTTCAATCTGATTTATCAGGCATGTTTCCTTGGGGCTCGTAGCTGGGGGGGTGTCTCTGTGTCTGCTCCTCCCCCACCTTTTTTTAACCCTTCTAAGAATCAAACTCAGATCAGCTTGTTAACATGTATAGTCAAGAAAGAGGAGCAAAGTAACCAAAAAAAGAGATAAGGTATGAGTGTTCCATATTGAGGGCAATCCCTCAGCTGTCTTACCTGTAGAAAAGGAAACAGCAACAGTGAAAGTAGTAGGTGTGTCAACTTATGAAGCAACTTGCAAGCTAGATTTTTCTTTTAGCATTTTTGTGCAACACGTATATCAGTGGTCTTGCACAATTTAAGAGTGGCATTTATCAACAAATTTACATAAAGGCCCTGAAACGTCTTAGGTTATCACAGACTATCTGATGCACAGATACTGCTGAGTGTTCCAGCATTAAATTCCAGAATGACCCACATGCAAACCTTTACACAACAGTTCTGTGATCTAACATGGGCAAAGGGAAATTCCTCTAGTGTTGCTTATAGCTACAGAAAATGTCAAGATGTATGAAGCAGTTCACAAGCACGGTATTTGGTCAATGCTGCTGTCTATGGGGTCACAAAACTTTGGGCACCACAGTCCAATAGATACTCACCATTAATCACAAAATTGCAATGTTATTGAATATTTGATTCAAAACAGAAATGTTTCTTTTTGTTATCCATGCCATTTACAAACATCACTGACACACTCTCTATACACGCACACATACATTTGTCAAAATAGCTGGATTGCCTGCAACTTCTCAAATTTCATCATTGCACAAGGTTTCAACATCTTTAAGTCAAAGAGAGATAAAGATAGTAATTTAATTTATAAAATAATTCTGATAGAGGTAAGCCCATAAATGTTAAGAAAAATCCTTTTTAATTCTAACAACTAAATTTGGGTTAACCTCAGTTTAACTATTTTTACCATTTCATCTTGCACTGTGCTAAAAAAAAATTAATAAATCTTCTCCTCAGTAGCACTGGCAAGATTTTCTGAAAGATACAGTATCATGAGAGGGGGAAAGCAGGTGGTTTTTTTGCTTCAGGAAGAAAAAAAGGAATTTCTGATCAGTGAATCCACACACACACACACACTCCAACACCTCCACACAGCTGATTTCCATTCTTCTCTCATAGAACAGTTTAAGATACCTATGCTACATGATGAAACAGGCATTTACGAAAGATTTCACTGTACTGTAAATTTCAGTAGTGTCACCTACCATACCTGGAAAAATAAACTAGATCCAGTAAGAGCAAAGGAGAAGTTAACTGAAAACATCTTTTAAAAATATGAAGTACCCCAAGCCTCAGCAACATAGCATATGCCTCAAGAAACAAGGATTTAGTTAAATGTTTGACCAACTATATGTCTGCAACTGTACTTTGGCACATTGCTCTACCATATGGCAACCATGTTACTAATAAATTCCTGCCATTCAACAAGAAGTCTCTTTTTCTTTTTTTTGAATTATATGATGTGTTTCAGAACTTTCAAAGAATATTTGTAAGTTTGTGGCACAGTGGTTTTTTTTGTTGACATCCTCGGTCCAGTCACACACATTTTTAAACAATTATCACTACCTAGTCATACATAAGTTATTCACAGTGACTCACCTGAAAAGCCTGCAGAGCCAGAGAGTAGTATCAGAAAGGATCCTTGTCGTAAGTTTTCTCAGTCTTTCCCTGTCCAGCACCGATATATAAGCAGCCAAACTATGTCCCAGTAGAGCCATGTGACCCTGTTCACCAACATTTTGAAGTCTGCAAGCCAGAACAGAGGAACTGCCAACTAAATACAAGTCATGAACATCACAGTAATTTTAGGTTTGTGTATTTTTATTGTAGAGTGGCAGAATTTGTTGGCATGCAATTTTAAATATTTAGCAGCAAGAAGTACAGTATACCACAGTCACCTTCCCGTCATTGTGTATTAACATACTAAAATGCCAGGGTAGACAAAAGCACTTGCACTTCACTTGGCCTAGCTGCTTACAATAATGCCTCAGCTTCTTTTTTAGCCAATCAGCTAGCACGAGTTGGAACTAAGCACCTTACCTGCACTGGGACTTAAAATCTGCATTGGGACTTAAGTGCATTAAACACATACCTTTCCTCACGCAGAGAAAACTCAGGAGGCTTATGATCAGTATCTTTAGAGGCATAGTTTTCATTAGTTTATTGGGCTTTTGGGGGTTTGTTGGGGTTTTTTTGTTTGTTTTTGTTTTGGTTTTTTTTTAATCTCCAAACTGTTTTTCAAATGTTAGTTTTCAATAATCTTCTGCAGATTAGTTAGTATTATTTCCATTTTACAGAAAAATGGAAAACAATTTTTTTTTTTAATTTATTTTTGTTCTTTAAAATCTACAGGGAGAGATGTTAAAAAATTATTGGTATTCAAAGTTATATAAGACTTTCAGACTTAAAACAAGTTTCAGAAAGTAGAAAACAAAATGAGCTGTCACATCAGAAACAATTCCCTTGTATAATTCCATTTAGTAATTAGTAATGAAAGCTTTATAATTTTAATCAAGCCAAGCCTAATGCATTATTCTAGTTCACCATGTAATTTAAGTTGCCTTTTAAAAGTTACATGGTTACACAATATCTTTATAGTTTAAAACACTTAAGTGTGAAGTTCTATAATAATCAGAATATTACAAAATCAGGTATCTTCCACATACAATAATTCATACTGGCTTTACCGGTAGGCCTGTGAAGTTTCCTCTTCTTCCTCTCCATGCATTAGGTTCTGAACTAACTGAAGTATGCTCACCATATCCTGGCCACTGGTGTACCGGTGAGGGGAAAACAAAAACCACATATTAAAAAAAAAAAAAAAAAAAAAAAAAAAAGTACCAGCATCAAATGAAGATGCCATCTGGGACACTGCCCAGTAAGACATGAAGACAACACTGCACTTTTACAGAATGCTGAGTAGAGCAACAAAAACAGTTCTTTGCTCTCAGAAAAACAGATCATGAAGATGATGTTGCTGAATCAATTAATTCAAAACCCTACTTAATTATAGTAGGACACTTCAATAAGTATGAACTCAGACTCACAGGAAAACAAATCTACTGAAATCTGAAAATTTGGACTGAAAAGTTTGACTTGACAATGTTTCATTGCTTATTGCTACACAGCAAAGTAAGGTAATAGCTAAGGATCCAAATTTCTCTTCACGTTATCCAGCTTCAGCTCACAAACTCAGCACATCTCTTAAACAATTACCTACAAATATTAGTTTCTGGTGAACAAAAGCTACATTGGACTTCTGACATGATGCACTCTAGCATGGTAAAACTGGAAAAGACCCACAATGCTTCAACTTGTATAATTCCAACTAAAATTTACAGTAATATAAGAACTTACACTGACAGTTGAAATGGCTTTTTATTCTTAGGAAAGCTAATTCAGTGTCTCCACTCAAAACCAAGTTTAGTTTATGTACACAAAAGACTTAAATAGGTTTTGCAATATTTTCTGAGGGCTAGCTTGGGCTCCTGCAGGATCCTCTTCCAAAGAGGCTACAACCAATTTACATCTTAGTTTTCAGGTACAATGAACTTACCTGCCTTATGCACGAGAGCTCCATATAATTTTTTAAGACAGCTGTGCTGAAAAGATGGGGTGTTTTTGTTTTGTGGAGTTTTTTTAAGGTTTTCTACCTTATCAGTCTCAGCTACTACTTTTTTTTTTATCTGGGTGTTTTAATGAATCTTTATTCTATAGCACAAGTTTATATATATTTAAGTCTCAATCACAGCTGTATGTACCAATATTTCATTAGATTCCAACAGTTCAAAATTTCAGTCACCAAGGACAAGTAATCTTTCTCTTTTTCCTACGTGAGTATGGAAATAGTTGGTATGACGACAATCTCTTTCCCCCCCTCCCCCCACGTGAGTACGGAAAAAGTTGATATAATGCCTGGCAACGTTCATGTTTGCATTAATATAGAAGTTATTTGGAAAACAAACATGTTACATGTATTTTACAGATTCTGAAAAGTAAAGAGCATTATCTAAAAATTGTTGTTGCCTACCTGCCTTGGAGTGGTCCAGGAATATCCTTCCGCACATACTTCTTTTCATTTTCCTCCTCCACTTTTCTAAGTTAAAGACACAAGAATAAACTGTTTGTGTTTTATAGCATCAAATATGTAGTTGACTTTGACTTGCAGAAACACACAGACATGTTTGCAGTCTATGTCACTGACAACAGTTTCATAAATAAATCAGATGAGACGAACACAAAGTTTAGCTCAGACTGAATTAAAGAGTGCCTAAGTTTTGGTTTTTAGTTCTTTAACAGAAAACATCAAACTTACAGAAGAGTTTCATACATATAGAAATTAAAAATTACTTGCACAGCAATAGGAAAAAAAAAAAATCTAACATATCCGAAAAAAACAGACTTGCTGGACTTGCTCTGAATATTACACAACACACATAAAAATACATATTTGTTTTTAAAATCCCATCATTTGAGAAACAATGGTGATTTGTATAGGTGTAAGCTTCAGAATGACAATATGACCTTAAACTATTAGGAAAATTAGTTCTTTCCTGCTTAATGTCAGTGACACTAATAATCCTCCCCTTAGCACAAATAGCTATTGTTTTTGTAGTTGTTATCCTTTGCACATACCTTTGATTGTCTTCTAGCATCTTCATTGCTTCATTCAGATTCTTTCCCATTTCTGCTAGAGTAGGGTCGACCATCTTTCAGGGAAAAAGATAACAACTTTTACGAAAAGAACAAAAGAAATACTTATCTTACTACTGTCCCCCCAACATCCTCACTAGGAATTCATGCATCAGGCAGATTCTTTTAGTTAGTCTGTGTGTACTTATTTAAAAATAACAATACATTGTATATCCTGAACTCAAAATATACAAAATAAGAACATATTACTGACCTAAAATAACCCAAAAGAACACTCAGTTGTGATCTGGACTTTATTATTGATAGATCCAATTTTTTTCTCCACAAGGAGAACTTTTTCCAAAATCCTCCTTAATTTCTAGATACCTCTTTTGGAGTTCAATGAATAACGACAGAAAGAGCATCAGAAGGCAAGAAGGATTTGAGAAGTGCAAGGTGTTCAAGTAAGTGCTCATTACAATGCTTTAGCTAAAAAAATTGGCCACTTCAGTGCAACTGAGTGATTTTTTTTCTTTTTCACAACCATTCCACACCAGCAATAAAACTTCAACTATTCCCTGAAATGTAAAAATTCACATCCGGTCCTATCCAAAATTAAAACAAAACAAAATCACCAAAAATCTTCTAAAGGAACACTCTAATCTTTCTACAGAGTATGGAAAATAGATACCCTAAATACAATCACAAGTCTGTCAGTGGCAAATCTCATTTAGAAACGATCCTTTTACTTCACCTGCACCAAAAAACCCCTATTACCATATTCTCAGTTGAGTTGACCCTGACTTGGTAATGTTAGGTTAATGGTTGGACTGGATGATCTTAAAGGTCTTTTCCAACCTAAACGATTCTATGATTCTATGACAGTCTGCTCTCATGATGTACAGACTCTCATTTAAAAAAAAAAAAAACAACCCACCACCAAACAAGAGAGCAATCAGCGAATAAGTACAACACTATTCTTGCAAGAAAGTTACCTTCTAGAAAAGAAGTTGTTTAGGAAGCTAAACACTGAAAAATGTGACCAATGGAGGTTTTAGGTCATTAGGTATTTTGATGCAAATTCAGGGGGAAATTTGCATAAATTGACAGTTTGTTTTTTTTTTTAAGATTGCCAGTTCAACTAAGATGTATTCAAATGTGTTCAATTAATAAATACTAGGAGAAATTTAAAAAGCCAACATTTCTTACCTAGGAAACACAAGAAGATACCATTTAAGACTGCTCTAGCAAAGGCAGAAATAAAATGGCAGTTTTCCCTGCCATTTCCCCATTCAGGTTTCCCTGTCAAACTTTTACAACAGTCATTTTCAAAACAGATGAGAAAACACCTAATCCAAATACTCTTGTAAATCTATTTTTTCCTATTTCTGGTACCTTTAAACCAATTTTTAATCTTACCTTACTGGAGAGATGCCCTTTAACTAGTCAAAAGAGTAAAACTGACCTGCAGCAGGCAGCTTAAGACAGACTGACATGCAGAAAAGGTTTATCTACCAGCAGTTGCAGCCCTCTAGCTACACAGAACAGGTCAAAAATCCTGAATTCATTGCTGAAAACCAGGTAACAACAGATACTTCTTAAAGAGACCATCAGGACAGAAGACCTTTAAAAATTGTTGAACTTATTTCCCCTGAACCAGTGACACGTTCAAAGATGAGTAAGTAGTATTTTCCAAAGAACTGCTTTTGCTTTGAATAAGCCTCTTTTATGAGCTTTAACCCAAGAAGCCTGGCAGAAGCTTGCAACTGACACAAGAGATCTAGACAGGAACATTTATCCATTTAAGGATTAGATGCCATCTAGAAGCTTCCAGAGAACATGAAAGGTATCATCCAGCAGTGTCTGATTTACCTCCAGTGGTTGATATTAAACTGTATTTGAAAAAGAAATATACCCCATTATGAAGGTAGAAGGTAACACCACTGATAAGATCCATCACATTAGACAGCAAGAAATCCTAAGATACTCAGGTGACCCCGTTACAGAGTCTCTTCTCCCCTCCTCTGCTTCCCAAATGTATTGTAAGCATAGACTCCCCAAATTCAACATCAACCCTTTTTCAAAAGGTCGGCCCACATACTCAAGCCTCTAGTAGTAACCCTTTAGATTATTGCTGAGGTTGGGGGGGGTACTAGGGGGAAGGGCGGTGGCTGTTTTAAAAAAAAAATAATAATCCAAAACAAGTTTAAATATTTAAACTTACACTATCCATACTGCAGGCATATAATATCTCATCTGCTACAGTATTTGAGAAACAGTAATCCTAAAGGCCTGCACATGCTTTCCATCACGGCTGATGGAAATGCGTGCAACTGTTGCACACATGCAACGCAGGCAAATATGTTTGCTCATGCAGATGCAGACACAAAAGCAAATCTAATTACAGAAGGCAGTGGGATTAATTTACTTGAGGATTTTACACGATTTTCATCCAGAGGACTGATCAAGAAAAGAAAAAAAAATTAAGTTGAGAGTTACCATATGTTCAAAGACTAATTTTACCAAAATATTTAGAGATTTAACTCATATTATAGCAAGTAGTAGGTGTCTGAAAGAATCAGTAGCCAAGCATGGTCACACTGGATCAAACCAAGATTGACAGCTCTCTGTATTCTGTTGCTTTAGAAGTGGCCAGTAAGAAATGTTGGGGGGAAGAACAAAAGAATAGTGCAAGTATTCAATAATATTTTCCCACAAGAACTCCCAGCATTTAGCAATAAATGGGTTTTTACACTTCTGGCTTCTACAACATCCACTGGCTATGAGGTCCACAACTTACTTAAGCACTGCATGAAAAAGTGGTACAAATACAAAAAGTTCAAGACCTCATCACAAAGATTAAAAAAAAACCCACACACTGAAAGCATTTGATACTCAGAATACTATATATATATATATACACACATATAACTAGAAGAAAAATTTAAATATGATCATTGGCAGTATTTCCATACATTTTCAGTGGTTACCAGAGTTGCACCACATCAAAGAAACTCTGAAAAGAAATCTTACCTAAGAAATCAGTTTTGCTCCCAGGAGACTTTAAGGGAGTAATTGACTAGACATAATTTACTGATTGTGACTATTTCGCATACTTTAATTCAGGTTGCCACAAAACGTGATCCATGGCTGGAAGGTAGTTATTTGCTTGAACCTTCCTCAGCATCACATGCAAATATTCAAACAGATCTGCTGTAGATGAGGACACAAGATGTAGAGGCATTACAAAAAGGGCTCTGAGCTGCTTTTGTTTGTTACTAACACAAAATTCACCTGCTGGAATTACATCAGATGTTAAAACCTGCGTATGCCTACCTTGTGACTCATCCTGTCTCGCTTACTAGTAATTACATGTGCATGAAACCCTTCTGCCAATAAGCTGGCAGAATACATAAAATACAATTTAAAAAGTCATAAGAAGTTATGCTAAGCTCCATAAAACGCTATGAAATTGAGCAAGTCTTTGAATTCTGATATGGGTTTAATTGGAAAATGAATCCCTTCTGGTTTTTTTCCAATTGCTAAGTGGACATGCAGCAATTTATTTTCTCCTTTGAATTATGGGAAGCCAAAAAAAAAAAAAGAAAAACCTTTTACTGCTGCATACTTAATTTTATATATGCTTCCTCCTCTGCTCACATTAGTAAGGGCATGGAGGTGGGAGCAGAAGACTATCTACTTATTTTACGCAGCAAGAAAAATAGGTGTGGCAAAGTTGCAACAGCAAACCACTCAGTTAAGAAAGGTTTCTGAACACACTTTAATAATATGCCATAATAAAGCAGTATGTTGCGTTAGTTTAGTCTGTAAATGAGATCAAGTGTGTATAAAATCCAATCAGTAATAACCAGAATACTTTTTCCATGTTCTTGAACTGTTTTTAGAAAGCCTGGCGGACAAGTTCTTGAACACCTCCTGTAACAGAGGACAACACACTTTTTGAGAGGGTTAAAACAGCTCCATTAGACATTATATTAGCCTTACTTTCTGCACTCAGTCCTTCCCCTGGCGTCACAGGATCTGCCTCTGATCAGTTAGGTGATCCTTTCACCAGATGAGTTACAAGACATGCAATGTCCTTTCAAGCTGTAAGAAGGCACCAGCCACAGCTGCTTCCTTCAAGGTGTCCATTCAGCACCCTGACACCTCCTGCCTCCTTAAGCCCTTCAAAGGTCCTGACATTCACTACCCTACTTTGATTTTTATCATTTGTTGCCTTCAAAATGTATTATTCCAATTCACTAAGGTTAACTTGCAATAGGTTTGATTTGTGGTTACTTCCCTGTTTTGTAACTAATCCATTACTATTTTTTAAGCACTTTGAACTGTAAACTCCTTCTGGTTTTATAGGCAGTACGTCACACCTTTGGGTCACTTGGCAACTGGGGAAGCATAAGGGGCCATTCTCCAGCTGTGATAAGACTGAACGTTAATTACAAATTCAAAAAGGAGCATGTTGCTTCGTATACCAATGTTTTACAATCTTGATTTTGCATTTCCATAGGCTATACTCCTAATGTAAGAAAGGGACAATTTTTAAACAGTCCACATAAACTATTGTGTGTGCAAAGAAACTCACAGGGGTAGCTCATTATATATTTCATGAGAAGTCTCATTTCCCCCTACATTATTATATTTGCCAATAAGAAAGTTTTACCATCAAAACCCAAGAAATGTCCTCAACAGTAAATTAATCTCAAACAATATCAGTATTCTATCAGTATTCTTCAGCCAAAAGAACACTGGGTTTATTCTCCAGGCTAAGAAAAGTTTTAGATAAAGCCACTTCATGACTCTTAGGCTTGAATGAAAATGGCACTGTATCAGCACAAGGCTTCCACTTATAGGTATTTGCTTGTTTAATCTTTATCAATACTTCCCTGACATGCAGCAGGATTTGCATGCAGGTCTGCTGTCACGAGTTTCCGTAAAGTTACCAGGATGTTGCGGTAATTAACACAGTAACAAAAGACAAAAGTCACAGGCTGAGCAAGAAACCAAAACAGTTTTTTCATGTTTAGGGAAAACACAGCTGTAGAGACAGCAAGAAGTTACA